GAGTATTTATAATAAAATCAAAGACGCGTAATGCGGAATGTTTTTGTTTACATCACTGATCTATTAATTATTGAAAGACGCGTTATTATTTATTTTTACAACTTGTCATGCTACTGATTTCTAAAAATAAATTATTGATACGCGTTATTTTTTATTGAATACAACTTATCACGTGATTACTTTTTAAAAATATATTGAGATGTGTTTGTTATTCTTTATTGTTACAACTGAATTTCTAAAAATAAATTATTGAGAGACGCGTTATTTTAAACCGAACAGTAGTATATATATTTTCATTCAAAAGTAGATTCGATTTTAAAGTCCTAAAATACGTCATCGCAAACATTTGCATTTTTTTGTTGTGCAACCAAAAGGAAATTATGGATTTTTTTAAAAGTTGCTAGCCCCGTTCTCTTTCCTCCACTTCATTTTTTTTCCTTCGTAACCTTTATTTTTTTTAATTAATTATTTTTTTTAATTTTATCTTGTCAAACAAGATTATGAAAATTAACGAATTTTATGTTATAATGAACTTGTGATTTTTACATATTTGTTAATACGGAGTATCCTTCTTTTAACCGAGAACTTTTCAACAGGAATTAAACTTCAAATTTTTTTTTTTTTTAAAAAAAAAGGACTTTGTAGCATTTAATTAGGAAAACATAGATGATTTTTTAAACCTCCATATTCATCAGCGGCTTCAACGATACCACCAGTACACCGTCAAATGCACCATTAAATCCATTAACAGCAAATTTAACTCAATATTACAAACAATGTAGGATTAGTTATATCCATATTAAGACTTTACAAATTACTTGGTTGGATTGTCAAATGTTAACATTGACCTACGGTAAATCGGTATTAAGTTGTTTCGTAAGGAAATGTTGAAGCTTATAATGGTCATGCTGATGTTTGTTGTGAACTTACCGATCACGGTTAAGCCAATGTGAATTTTCAAGATAGTTCTTATAAAACCGCTTTATGAAGGCTACGTTGAAACTGCTAAAGTGTTACTAGCTCGAGGTGCAAGTGTGTACATTTCAGACAAGGTGCGATCTCAATTTCTTTGCCTTTATTTGTGATCTTTATTAATTTCTCTTATCTTTAAAATAAAAAAGTTAAATGTATGGATGGACCGCGTTAATGCTCGCTGCTTTTTCTAACTGTGTAGAAATGTGACTGTTGTTGTTGGAGCATGATACAGACAGATTTTGCCTTGGCAAATATGATCGAAAATAACGTTTCAAGCGGGAATAAAAATAACAATAATCATAATCATAATTATATTATTAATTATAATAATCTAAATAATAATAATTATAATAATAAACCAATTCTGCCTTCCTTCGAGTGGAATATCCTTTCAATGAGTACCAGGAAGGTTTCCTACAACGATACCGCAACAACCAATTGAACAGAATATTTTGATTCAAAACATTTATCCAATCAATCAATAATACAAAAGCAAAAAGATATTTGATGCCATTAAATCGTAAAGATTCAAGACGTACAATAATACAACATAAGAAACGGATCTTGTTAGTTCTCAATATTGTCATATTACGGGAAAAATCATGTAAAGACAGATTGAAAATAGAGCAAATGCACTTACCTTGAAGGACCTTGATAGTGATGATGATGGTGTCAACGATGATGACGGAGGCAACAATTATGATAACATAGAAGAGGAAGGTAAAGGTGATGAGACAGCACCACATTTAAAAAATGACATGGCAGCGAAAGAGAGTAAAATTCCTTTGGTATTATTTTCATTGGCAGTTTTGGAATGTTTTTGTAATCCTTGCCTTTTCACCATTGGTAAGATGAAAGATCCCAATGTGCGTCAAGCTTGGCGTAAAAAAGTGGCTTTGGTGGTTATTATATTATTAATTTCATCATTCATGAGATTTTGGCATTCGGTTTGGCAACCATCGATTGTGGAACAAGGAGACAAGAGTTTTTAAGGAAGATGTATTTGAAAAATTTGGAATCGGGTCAAAAGTGCATATTATTCATGGCAAACTCTATAATACTGGACTTTTGGTAGTCATCTTCCGTTAACGCCTCCTATCGAAGATAAAAATTAAAACCAATAATATTTCCAACGTTTGTAAAAGATATTTCGGATTATTTTCCTTTAGGCTACCAATGTCCTTTTGTCCCTAAATGATGGACCATTTGCGATATGGCGATTGAAACGTAAAATCCATTGTTATATTGTCATACTTCCACAGATTAAAGGAACTAGATGTGAAAATAAGCGTTACTTATTCATGGCAAAAGATAACCAAAGCTAAAACCACCTTATTTGTTTATAGTAATAAGGTATATTATTAAGGAAACTATCTTGATCCTTCAAATGAGGATAAGTTGCTTGGAGATGATAGCGTTACAGAATGGCTTCGAGGTCTCCTCGGTAAAGATGCAACAAGAGAGATTCTTCACATAAGGAGATATCAAACGTTTACCTAATTTTAATTCAGGAGACGTTGAAAGAACAACCATCGGATGTTTCGCGAATAGTATAATGACAGTCGTATTCACAGGAATTCTTTAATCAAGTTCATTTCCGCTATAGCATTTGATTGGTTTCTATAATTGCAGCTACATAAAATATCAAGATGATGATACGACATCACACCTTTTATTATTAGTCACGTGTTATTCGGAAGGTGAATATTCAATGCACACAACACTTGATTCATTGACCAGTACGGATTATTCTGACAAGAACAAATTATTAATGGTAATCGCTGGTGGTGACATAACCGGATCAGATAACGATAAAACAACTCCGGAGATATGCGAGGATTTAATTGAACTATTCAATTTATCTAGTTTCGAGTCTCCGACACCGCAGTCATATTTAGCCGTAGGAGAAAGTAAAAAGCAACACATTATCGGATATAATTGTAATGGACATCATGTTCCAATTTGTTTTATTAATAAAGATGGCACACCAGAAGGATGAAAAGGGCTTAAAGCCGGTAATCGTGGTAAACGAGATTCACAGCTTATATTAATGAAATGGCTTAACAATATATTTTTTAACGAACGTATACACCATTGGAATTCGAATTATTTGAAAAGGTACGAACATTAACGGGAGTACTGCCTTATAAATACGAGATGATATGTGATCGAAGAATTTTTTCTGGGTGCTCTTGGGGTAATTAGTTTTGATGGTGATCTTGTTGCACCATAGTGATAGTGATCAGAAGTTATTATGTAATATCTAGTTCTTTATATCTATTACCGTCGCGTTTAAACTTTTATAAAAGTCAATTTACTTATTGATCTCAATCCTCTTTATGGCTAAAAAAAACAAACGACTTTCTACTTGGTTACTATCCGGCGTTATTAACAAAATATTAAAGATACTTTAGGGTCAACCTTAAAATCACTTCATAGTGTTTGCCGTTAAATAATTCTCGACTTTCTTTTACGCGACTCATTACATGATAATTTGTATTATGATAATGTCTCCGTCAAAAGCCGGCTCATGATAATATATTTAATTGGTTAGAGGAGCAATTGTCGAAGTCAGTCCTAACTTGTATTTACGGGCCTGTATATAAAAACTGTATTGTACGGTCAGCTAAACTGTACTGTACGAAAGTGTTTTTTAATGCTTCTTCTAAACAGGCTAGGCCAGTTGCGATTTTCAAAAGAACTAGGTTATATTCATCTGTTGTTGGGCAAGACTAAAGTCATGCAACTATCAACTATTACAACAAATAGAGTTAAAAAACGTACTCGTGAAGCTTCTCCGCCACTAAAGCAAGCATTCTCTTTTACTGCTAGTGAACAAGGAGCGGTCATTGAACCGCTTCTTAATTTTGAAAGAAGTATTAGAGAATATTGAAAACGAAATGGTTCAACGATGGATCAATAAAGCCGATAAAGAACACTCACCTCCACCGCAAAAAAAGGAAACTTGACAATACAAATTTGGGAAAGATTACATAATTCGTTCTTGATATTCTCGAGGAAACTGAGGAGATTGAGGAGGGAAATTCTAAGATTGGTATTTGATGAAGACGAATATCTAATAAAGCTCTGGAGAGCAATCAAAATAGAAGAAAAACAAGTACAAATTCGTAAATTTATCCAACCTGTGAATTTGATGTTTGAAGTTGTAAGTATATTTTTTTTGTATGAAAATTCATATTGTAAGCCAAATAAGCTAATTATTTAACTGTATCTACAGAACTTGAAATCGAAAAAACGGAAAAATTCAGGTATATATAAATGGTAGATAGGCAGTGTGGTATGGGAATAAGTTCTCGCGTTGTCGCGCCCGGTCGCAGCTTATTCGATGAGCAATTCAGTTTGCTCAACGGGTAAGTTTAAATCAACATTGGCTGAGTGTCTCTTAGTCTCAGTTGGACTCGTTGGCTTAACTGATGATAAACGAAGCTCCTTATTTTGTGTACCACCTGCCAACTTTATTGCTTATTTATGTAGCATTTCTAACCATTTATAACTTCACTTTTTAGGATATGAACGTTATACAGCCTCTCGAAACGATGGATCAAAGAATAATTAATTATTAATAAGATTGAATCATTGTTTACTTGTAATGGAAAATACAGTAGAAAAATTATAGCTTAACATATTTTTAGCATTGGAAATAAGCTGCTTCATTATTTTATTATATTGCACGGATATCAATACTGTACCCACATTTGATCAAGATTTTTTTTCTAATATTAATAAAAACCTGAAGTGAGCTGAGTCATGTGAATTATTTGCTATATTAATAAAAATTCGAAGCAAAGGCATAAATGAATTTTTATTGTGGTGTGGGATGTGCATCAGTGCTTTGACAATTATATTTTTGATCTGATTTACGGATTTACTTTAAACTTCTAAAACATTTCAAAACTCCGAATTTAAATTATTTATTTTCCAATTCTTGAATTGCAGTTTTGTGGTCATTGGGACACCCAATAAATTGCTGTTATAAAGGGATGTCGTTTGTAGTGGGAAAAAGGAAGCTTGAAATCTTTTGGAACGCGTATTATAATGGGCAAGTCATATGCACTATAGTAAAATACTTTAGAAAATTAAACGACGTGTTAATAGAACACGGACATTCTTTGATTTTATAGTTCCTAAGTATGAAGTTTTCATGATATATTAAAACGTTCAAATTTAATAAGCTATTCATTAAAACTATTCTATGTAATTCTTTAAAATATAATTTTAAAGAAAAAAAAATTTTTTTTTTTATTTTTATTTTTTTTGGTATTAGTTTTACTCGAACCCAGTATTCGAGATTAGAATTGTCAAGTACTTTATACCGCTATACTATAGCAGCACCGACGTTGTGACTGAAATTGATTTCGTCTGAAGTTGGAATTCATGATTTTATAGGTTCTTAACTTTTAAATAAATTCAAATTTATTAAATTCAAACACTTTATCTAAAAATATTTTGTGAAAAACAAAAAGCAATTATTTTAAAATTCATTATAGAAGAATTTTAAGTAGGTATAAATACTATCAATAAAGCAAAGAAATTATTTAAAAAGTAATAATATTGAATTCTATTATTACTATCTAAGAATTTAAAAGAAGTGAGAAAATTGTATGGTAATATGTAAAAAAATAGGATTATTTATAAGTCTTCAAAAATAATTATTAAGTGAAATTACAATTCAAGATATATTAAAAACTTTACGATAAGCCAAAATTTATCAAAATTAAATCATATGAAATTGTAATAACTTTAAGTGTTTAGTAAAAAAATAAAATGTAATTTTCTTAGAAATATATTTTTTGATAAGTTTTAAGCAGGTAGAGCTTTTTATTAAGAAAGAATAAACGTTTAACATTCTTTTTCTTTCTCATTTATAGAAACAGCTTTAAGATTATTTGAAATATAGAAATTTTTATAAGTTAATTCTTAAAAAGTTTTAAATAAGATGGAATTTTTCTTTGAAAAGAATATTTCTAATGTTTTTTTTTAAAAAACAGCTTTTAAAATCATTTAGGTTATGAAATTTCTCTTAGAATAGTTCTTAGAAGATAAGTTTTGAATAGAATAGGTTCATCTTTGAGAAAGAGTATTTTAAATATTTTTTTTTCTTTCTTTTTGTAAAAACAGCTTTTAAGATTATTTGAATTATAGTATTTCTCTTAGATTAATCTTAAAAGGTAGATTTTGAATGATGTAAAATACTTCTTTGAATAAGAATGTTTCTAATATATATATATATTTTTTTTTTTATAAAAAAGTCTTCAAGATCATTAAATCATAGAATTTTTTTTTAGATTAGTTTATAAAAGATAGGTTTAAATAAATATAAATTCTTCTTTAAAAAGAACATTTATAATATGATTCTAATCTTACATTTATTATTAACTATTTTTTAGAATTATAAATAAACTAATTTTAAAATATAGATAGATCAAATATTATCATTTGAAATTAATAATATTTAACAAAAAAATGAAATGTTCACTTTCTGATTGCAAAATTTTACTTTGAGTATAGAATTATTCTTAATATATTTACAATAATTTCTTTTTTAGTAAGAAATGAAGATACTTTTATTAATATTTTTACTATTTTATTATAAAATCAAATAATAAATAATAATTTTAAATTTTCAAAATAATAACCTTTATAATCTTCATATTATAATTATTTCTTTACAAAAAATATTTATATTTAAATATTTAACTCATTAACTGTTAAAACAAAATATAAATGAAAATTTTCTAATATTAACATTAAATTTTTATTTAATCATATCAACTTCACTGATTAAAATCAAAAAAAACCAGACATATGAAAAATCAGCCTAAAATTAGCAAATTATCAAGAATTGGTCTAGCTGATTGGTATACATCAAGAATTAGCTAAAATTTAGCTAAAATTTGACCTATTTTATTTATAACTAATTGGTATACTTATAGCTGATTAATATACAGCAAAAATTAGCTAAAATTTGACCTATCTTATTTATAGCTAATTAGAATGATTATATTATTTCAATCAAATAATAATATATAAAAAAGGTAGATTTTTATTTTATTATTTTATTTATTATTTTTGAAGAATTTTTGGAAGAAAAATAGATTATATTTTATTAATTTATTCTTTTTTGTTTGAAAATAAAAATATTATGATAATAAATATTTAAAATGATTTAAGAGAATTTTAGAAGGAAAATAGATTATATTTTTATTATTTTATATAGTTTTTTTCATTTTTTACTTATATTTTTTAAATAAGAAATTAATAAGTGAGTTTTGGTAATATTTATATTATAGTTTTGCAAATTATATTAGGTTTTTAATATTAATAAAATTTTAATATTTAATAAATTTAATAAATAAAATATATTGATTTTATATGCTTATTTGACCAAATTGATACCAAATTGAGGCTAATTTTAGGCTGATTTATGGTCATTTAAGTTCTAAATTAATGCCAAATGATATTGTATTAAGGTTAATTTTAGGCTGATTTATAGTTGTTTAAGTTCTGAATTAATGCCAAATGATACTAAATTAAGGTTAATTTTAGGCTGATTTATGGTTGAATTTAAGTTCTAAATTGATGTTGAATAACTATATTTGATTAAAATTAATCAGCGTCTATTAGCGTCTGAATTATTACCTAATTGAGGCCAATTTTAGGCTGATTTATGATTGAATTTAAGTTCTAAATTGATGCTGAATGGTTATGTCTGATTGGAATCGATCAGCATCTATTAACACTTATTTGTACTAATCAGAAAATATAGCAAATCAGCTGTAAATAGTATTAAAATTGACCAAAATTAGCTATCTAATTTTAGTTAATTTGAACTATTTTGACTAGTGCTTATTTAGTTAGCAATTTATTTTTAAAAGAAAATTTATATACATTTTTTATTCACTAAAATAAAGACAGATTCTATAAAATTAGTATTATTATGAGATTTGAACAAAATCAATCTTTTATTAACTAAATATTATAATAATTTAAAATTGATTCAAAATATAATTAAATTAATAGATAAACTTATTTAATCTTTTTAATTAGTAATCATTAGATTAATGGATTATTTATGATTAAAATATTTATTATTAAAATTAAGTTAGATTTATTAATGTAATTTAATTATAAATTATTCATATTCATAATAATCCAGTATTGCTAGACTTTATGACCTTTTAAATAATAACTTAAGAATATAAAGTAAAAAAATTTGCATTTATATAAAATTTAATTGATTAAGAATCCAAATGCAAAAAATGTATAATTATCAAATTTACATATTGAATTATTTAATAACAATAATTTTATTAAAATAGAAAATATATTATAATTTATTCTTAAATAGATAATTTTATTAATAATATTATTTATTTATTTGAAATATAGAAGTGTTGATATAGAAAAAGCATTTTCAAAGAAATTTATTGATTCTACTAATGAATTATTATAAATATAATACTCAGTGTTAATACAAAAAAAAATACTATAAATAAAGAAATTTTCTGAAATTTTTTCATTAAACAGAATATCATGAATAAATTAATGTTTGACATTTTGAAAAAGATTTATATAATTATAATATTATATTATAGTTAATTTATTATATTTATTTATAAATCAGGCTTTATAATTTCATAAGTTATCACAAATTTACTACTTTCAGATTCAATTTTTACGCTATAAATAAAACCTGATTCTACTGTAAGCTAAATGAGCATAGTATACTAGAAAACCTTTAGATATACATGAATTGATTGTGAAAATGTATAACACAAATTATATGTTAAGTGAAAACATGATAATATATTATATGTGAGATTTCTATTAAACTAAAATGACTCATAAGATAAAAGTCAAATTTGAATGGATATATTATTATTAAATTAATAATTATCCTAGAAGGCAATTTTTTAATTTATTGGAACTTTCTATAATTATTGAAAAAAAGCAAGTGTGATAACTGTCTTTAAATAACTATGTAAGTTATTATTAGTTCACTTTATTCTAATATATATTTAATGTTACTAACTTTAAAATACTTGCAACATTAGCTTCTTAATCTCTAGTATAAAGTTTAAAAGTAACACTATTATTCTCATAAGCATAAATCAAAGCTTTTTTTTTATTTCATCATAAACTGCCTTCATTAAACTCAAATAATAGTTGTCTTATTAATCAAACTGATATATAAATGAGTCATATTCACCTTATCATCTGATAAATAGTATATAATTGTAAGTATTTAATTATATTTAAAAGCTATTTCTACTACCATAACTATTGCATCCTTGTATATTACAAACTATTATTCTCAAATTCAGTTATAAAAAATGGAAATTATTGATTAGTACTATTAAAGATAATAGTAGTAAAATCAGATCTAGACAATCTACATTTACTATTTTTTGGAATTTTATGATAGTATTACTAATTTACACTAATTTCTTCTAAATCAATAAGAAATAGTCAGAAAATATTTTATCTACTTTTGTGATTTTATGTGATTTTCTAATAATTTGCTTCTTGGGTATCAGTAAAGAATCAATAAGTAAGAAGAACAGAAGTAATTATTATCAATGATATTTATATATTGATGATATAGTATTTGTTCTTATGAACTTTAAATAATCTTGCTAGCCATTATCATATATCAGAATTAATACTATTTATAATCACTTTTGTAATTAAATTATATATAATTATAATTGCATAATAAAGGTTTATATTTTAAGTTTTTATAAGAATAAATTTTAATAAATTCATGTTAACAGCTGGTTTAGATAAATTTGGATTCCTTAAACAGAAAATAATTCAAAACTAGGGCATTTAATTGATAAAAAATTATAATCAATAATTTAATTAATTTCTTACTTATATAATCAATTAAAAATTAATTTATTTAATTGATTATGTGTGATCAATTTCTTAATTAATTGCATTATTTGATCAAAGAATAAAACTAAATATCAAATTTTAATTGTTTGATCATTAATTGATTTATTAATATTAATATAAGCATTAAAAGCTTACAATAAGCTACTTTCATCAATTACAAATATTATAATAACTATTAAAATCTCTTTAATTTGCAAATATACAATTATATAAAAGGATTATAATATTTACTATTTCATTTTACAAATAATAATTCATTAACAGTTTCTAGTTTTAAATTGATCTGTTCTTTGGTAATTTGATTTCTAGCATTACTAAAAAGCTACTTATTTAGAATAGATATAGCTGGTATATCCAAATATTTTCTAGCTATTTTAAATAAAGTTAGAAATTTCTTTTTATTATTAATCTACTATTAAAATAGAGTAAATATTATAAATAAAAAATCTGATACTTTGAAATGCATTTTTATGATAAAAAAAAAGAATAATGCTACAACCATGACTATTTTATTTAAAAAGCTTTAATGTTAAAAGACCAGTTGTTATGTCTTAAGAATAAAAAAATTTTCCTCCTTTACGAATATCAATAACTTTAAAAGGAATTATTTTTTTTTCATTTTTTTTAATAATGATACTATATAGTTTTATTTATTATTTATTTATATACATATTATAATAACATAATTGATCAAATATAATAATAGTTAATCAATCATTCATAAAAATTTAATCAATTAAAAATCAATTAAAGTTAGTCCAATTTTGATTGATGGCAATATTCTGCAATTGACAAATCAATTGAATAATCAATCATTGATCTTACTTGATTCAATTAAAAGCTCTATTCAAAACAGACCATTTGAGCATAAGAGACAAATTTCAGGCTCATTGCAATTCTTCTTCTATATGATGATTTCACATTTCTTTGAGAACTCTTCTATATGGTAATGTAATGTGTACATTGAATATTAGTTTCTCACTGGATGAATCCTTATCCTCAATGTTGTCATTGAAAACAGGTGGATTTTTTGAGAGAGAGTTTCTTTTATATGACATTAATAGACAAAAAAAAATATTAGTAAAGAGAGAAAGAGAGGGAAAAGAGAGAGAGAGAGAGAAAGAAAAAGGGAGAGAGAGAGAAAGAGAGAGGAAGAGGGGGGAGAGAGAGAGAATATGCTAAGTCATAGGAGATAACACAAACCATAGTGAGCACATGCTAGGCTGTGAATTGCTTACACCTCAGCCAAAAATTGGCCTCAACGTCGTGGGGTACAGCTCTTAAAAAATATGCACGTTGCAGTGATGTAAAGACCAGACACTCTTCTTTTCCAACACCAGCAGTGAGTGGCGTAGCACACAGCGGTGCATGTCGTAGTGTACATAAGTTTGAATGCTCTTCTTCTCCATATCAGCAGTACAGGGCGTAGCACACGTAAATTTTGCAAAAAATACTGCCTAGGTCACGTTGCATTGCTAATGTTTTCCATCTTGCTCTTGTTCCAGGTTTTAGTTTCCGAATCAAAATTTGTAAATCAGCACTCAAAGCATTATGTGAAATTTGTCTCGTACATTTTCGTGAAAGTAGCTATCCCACGTATCCGTATTTCCCCATTGAGTATGAGATTTCTTCCAATAATCCAACATATGAATAAATGTTAGATTATTTAATGTGATATATAGTGAAGAACAATAAATACTTACCAAAATATCTAACTTCTTTTTAAAACTACTTCGGGTATTCCACCTGTTGACAGTGTTGTCCATTTTCCATGTCCCAAGCATTTCAAGACTGTCCACACTATGTCCCAAGCTGTCCCACATTATGTCCCAATTTTCCCAAGCTCATCTGGGACATGTCCCAGCACAACACTGCCTGTTAGCATATTTGCATATTGTGGAGAAAGAGACGCGTTGTAAAGTTGAACGTTGTTTAGCTACCTGATTATAAATAGTATAAAATATGATGATATCACGTGCTGATTCGCAACATTGTGAAAATATTTCCTTTCTTGGTTATATTATTTGGACTAAGTACTCATATGGTTTATTTTATGCCCTTATACATTATATCGATGCGGCAGAAATGATCATAAATTTTTTAAACTTGTTAATATCTAATTACATACATTTTATGATCGACTTAAAAGAAATTCTCTGCTAAAAAAACCCACACAAACCTTACTCTACTCTCATTCATAGAAATTTACACAAATTTTTTCGAATTATTGGATGATGATGATGAATATTATGATGTTATTTTGGAAGTTGGTGAAGACCCTAATGTAAAAATGTTCCGTGCGCACATGAATATTTTGTGTTACCATTCTCCATATTTACGACGAGCTTTGGGTACAAATAAAATAAATAATAATAATATATTGGCATTTGAAATTGCCAAATATTTCACCGGAAATCTTTCAAATCGTTTTAAAGTAAGTGTTAAAATTCAAAGAGTAGTTTTTTTCAACAGAAATAATTAAATTCAAATTTCATTCTTCAAAATATAGAAATATTTATGGCGGAATTCTTTCATTAAATGGATTAGACGTTTCAGACATCCTTAAAGTCTTGGTGGCTGCTGATAAACTTCTCTTATAAAATTATTTCATATCCGTATGGGAGGATCAAAGTTTTGAACTTATCGAGTTTTCAATCTAATAATTTTCTTGAACTTCATAATTTTGAATTATTATTGAGATGGAGTCAGATGGGTTTACTCCCGAAGCATTTCATAAATTATGTGATAATAAGCATTCTACTGTTACCTTCATTAAAGTAAAAGGGACGGGAGGATATAATCCTCTAATATGGAAATCTACCAATGAATGGGGTAAAACTAAAGATAGCTTTTTATTTTCTCTTAAAAATAAGGATATTTTATCAAAGACGCAATTTTGAGTAATGTTGTAAGTGTTGATCATGCATTAAATTATCAAAAGAGACACGGAACATGTTTTGGACATGATCTTCTGATTTATTCATCAAATGATTTTGTAAAAAATATAGTTATGAAAAAAAGTTAAGGGATACAGAAGGTGAATTTCTTTAGAAATCAAATTATTGAAATAAAATATGACGTCATAATTAATTTTGATTTTAGCTTTCAAAAATAGTGATCGATATATGTCATAAATGACTAGAATTTAAACATGTATTACAAAAATGAAAAGCATGTGGTTGCGCAAGAATCTAACTAAACCTAACCTTACAGTAGCGGTCATAAGTATCCGACCCCTCATAATTCTTAAAGTTAATTAATAACACCCATTAAAATTTTCCAA